CACAATCCCCTCCCCCTCCCTCATTAAGGAAGTAATCACGTGTTTACCAAGTTTCCCTTTCGTATAAGTCAAAGCTTTAGCAGCCTCCCCTACCCCTCGTCTCTCTGCCTGCACGCACCCCTGCTGCAGGATCACGGCTAAAGTGCCCGTCACAAAATGGGAAACATATCGATTAGAAGACCGATGTTAGGGCATTTAGCTCGTAACCGCTTCAATTTTAACATTAACTAGAGGAATTTTCAACAGAAGTAATTAAGCGCAGCGGATTTTACAAAAGGTTGCGAAAATGTAAGAGATAATCACCTGCTCCATGAAATATTTCGTTGGAGTTCCAACGTTGCCTTGAGGCATTACTGCTGGCGGACGAAGCTCGATCAATTGACGTAGGTCGGCGCTCGTTAAAGAATCAGACGTTCCCCCGGAAGCCTGAACGATTGGAACAGAAAAATATTTTCGCACTCAAACCAAGTAAATACAAAGCTTCACTTACATTCGCAAGTTTTATAGCGGTGACAAAACACCGAGGAGGGATTTCCATCCCTTCATTATTCATCCAGTGCCGACCATGAAACTCACGAATGAATTCACTCCTAAAAAATGTCATAGCTAAGTAAAGTTAAGTGAAGAAAGTAATGGTACTGTTTCATACAGATAGAATTTCGTGCTGAAAATTATGAGAAAAAGGAACAAGTTTTGAGCTAGAGATCATGAGGATCACGCTTAGAGTCACCTCGTGGAAGGGTCGACCAAATGACTAGCTCACACGGGCCTTCACACCATAAGCTGCATCTGGGGTAATTAGCGACCACTGCTCGATGAAAGGAAGAACGCAGAGGACCGCACGACTTGGTCGTACTGTTCTCGCAGCCTGGCCTTCCCAACTGCATTGGGCCAATGATCTTTACCTAAGCTTATGGAAACTCCGAGGCGGTCCAAAAATAGCTACAATCCAGTTTCTTTAGTGGAGCCAAACTCCTGCTCAGTCTGTGTTCTATTATCTACGTCGTCTGGCATTCTCCGACCACTGTACCCTCCCCTTTTCAACTTTTCACGTGGTGTAGACGGCTTACCCCCTCCCTACCATCTCACGGCCTTAAAAATCCTTTCTATGATCCGCCAAATGTTCTTTTGCCGACGCGGACGCTGCGTCTCAGTATATACTTGTCGGCATTGAAGCCTCCCATACACTACTTTTTCTTGCCTCCTGTCTTTCGTTTCCTTCCTTTATTCCCTCTTCCCTTTTCTCAACTGTCGGACCGGTAAATGCGATGAAAAAAATATCTCTGGACCCTCGCAGCGCGAGAGCATGTCCGGTTGACTACAGCCCTGTAACCGCTCAGTCGCCGCTTTCTCTCACAGTCCGCGCTACAGCATTCGTGACAGGACCGCTCATGGAGCCGCTGTCCTCTATCAGTCCACGGTAAAGCATCTCGTGATAGGACCATGCCACCCAAAAAGTTCCAGAAGTCACGTGACCTCCCGGAGTAACTGATATAACTCCTTCGTAAAAGAAGTCGGCGTTTCGAATGAATTTCCGATTTTGCAACAAAATTGTTCATCTTCTTGAAATATCACATTATTCTTACCAAAACAGATTGGATAGTGCACTATTGCAAATTACAAAGAAACATTGTAAATTATCTATACTGACCCAAGGTAAAACTCTACCTTAAAGCCGACGTGGCGAAACTTATCACACAGCAATTCGTTGTACTCTTCTTGCTATCATTTTCTTTACTTGACGATAGTTCTACTGTCGCATCCGTGCTCTAAACAGTACTATACACTCCGAGTAAAAACCAAGTAAAATTGCAATATTTACACCTTATTCTCCTACTTTTCGAAACTCAGAAAGAACTTCATCGAAGTTAGTCTGTAGAGGTGACTGTTCTTGAAAAATGTCCTCGAAAGCAGTTGAACTACAACAATATCCCGTCCTTCTGACACCAAATTCTCGCACCTTACGTACGATCGCTGATGCCAAAACGCTTTATGCTACAGTTTGCCGAAAAATCGCCCATTGAAACTGAGGTCTTGTTTGATGCGTATGATGGGGCGTCTAAAGAGGGTGGAGTTTGATGTGGCGAAAGTCGGTTTTCACCGGCTGCTGAAGCGGGCGACTATAACATATCCTACCACTCGTTGTCGCTTGCCCGCTTCAATAACTAAAGGAGAAAGGGCTGACGGTGCGCCAAACCTTGCCTCAGAGACACGCCCCATCATCCGCAGCGAACGAGACTGCAGTTTGACTCCCTGAATGCGAATACAGCAGTTGTTAAACGTCTAGCATCAAAATGGTCCTGTGATGTGAAAGTCTCGGCTACGACGCTAGACAGACAGATCGATTTTCGTGAACCAGCGTTCGAAACATACCCGAAACAAATGCATGCTATATATACCCACCGACGTTTTCAAGAAAAGTCACCCGAGAGTAGTTCGAGAAATAAATTAGTAAAAGGTGAACAGTGTCAACAAAATCAACAAGGTCGGTACCTTTTGCTGAAGTTCAGGTCGATGTCGGTAGTGAAAACAGTGGAATTTCCCGTTTTCACTGAAGTCCGAGAAATATCGTCGCAAGTCTTTTGATCTCATCCATGATGGAATGTTACGGATGGTGCAGTAGAACAGTTCCTGGCTTGTATGCGCACTGGGGCCTGAAAGTATTAGCGAAATGAAAAGAATTTTGTGATGGCAATTGTTTACGGGTATCCTTTGAGAGGTCGAAACTGTTTTGTTTCGGATGTTAGTCTTATATACAGATCGTTGGAGAGAGAGTCCCTTTCAGAGATATCTGGTGGCGATGTAACTCCAGGATTTCTGCGCTAAAGTGGTAAGAGAGGGGAAGCACTCGGCCGCGCCTCGGTGTCCTTTCTCCTAACCAAAGCATAAACTTAAAGACACGTCCCGCGGTCAATGATCCAAAATGACTCCGTGCTTTTGAACTGTTATACGCGTTCACAGAGAACATACCACTTTCGTCCCTCAAAACGGCGAGATAAAGAAGTTAGAGACACGTGAGCGTGGCAACGCGTGCGACATCATACTGTAGCTGTACGAGACAACGGCTCACAAGCTTCTATTCCTACAACACCCGCGCGGCACGTGTCGCGCGCGGCGCTTCTGGCACTTTGCCATCTTCGGTGATCCGCGCTTTCCATAGCGATTAAGCGCAAACCTCGCACCGTTGGACATAAATTGAAGACGCTTAGGCTGTTTTAGGGTTCCATATGGTTCTTTGCAAGCGATTCCAATTAGGAGGATGTGAACAAAAGAGCAGCAAGCCTTTCTTGAGTTTCATACTCTGCAAGCGATGGGAAGGACGTGAACTGAAGAGCAGGTAGTTCGTCTTCCGTACTCATCGCAAGAGGAGGATAAGAAATGAAGAGCAGTTAGTGTGTTTCTCAGACTCACCTAATGATCTTTCAGACGGGGACACTTCAATTGTTTACCCCAATCTTTCGACATCAGACCCGTTTTACTACCGAGCTTTTTGAAAAACGGCAGAAATTTGTTTCCAGACCTTCAACCTCCAAACACGAATATCGCATCGCTTGGCCAGGAATTGCCTGGCGCTCACGCCACGGTCCCACGGCTCAAGCTTTGCGCTCCAATCGCTATGGAGAGCGCGTCCTTCACGTCCGACATACTCGTCCAAGACGCCGCCTCACTGCTGAGGGAGGGTCTTTGTTTAGGGTCTCTTTCGGTTCTTTTTCTACTGAGTAGCTACTCGTCGGTCACTGGTACATGACTGAGCACCAACTACCCGTAACACTTGATCGCGGGAATTGTCTTTGAACTGCATGAGACAGAAGTAATCCGAGGAAGTTCAGGACAAACTACTAATAGCAGAACAAAGTCTCTAGCGCGCTGTTCTCTATGCAATTACCACCCTTAAGTTAAAAACAGTCCCCCCCCCCGCTCGAGCGACTCGTGAGCGCCCTTCATTGCACAAGTAATCTGATCCTCAGTCCCTAAAATTCTCACTTTGGCGGTTTAACAGTAAATAGCAAAGCGTCATTTCTCCCAGTGGCAGTTGCAACGCCTCCATAACTGTCCCGCTCACCGAAACTCTAAAGCCATTCTTCGCCAGGAGTTCAATTTTTACACAGTGCTTTCCGTTGTTTTCACGTTAGGATTGGCATCACATGACGCGAAGAAAAGATTGGTGAGCCAGACATGGCAGGGTATTCCGGCATAAAACTAGCACGTCCGGAGACTCGTCCAGAGAGACTGACAGGTCACTAATTAGGATGTCCGTATAATTTTTTTGCTTCTATTCAAAGTCATTCGGCGGCTACAAGATTGCAACTGAACGCCACATGTACAACGTACAGTCGCGGGGCGGGGTTTGCCTTTAATCAGAGCACGTTGGGGGGGGGGATTTTGCAAAAGTGCACTCTCTCGTAAGTTCCTCCTCTTGCAGGGCCCTTACCCCTTCCTATGTCCCATCCTACCAACCATCTTCCTGAAATCCCCCAACTTTCTTCCTTTTCTCTGAGTTTTTTTTTTCTGAATCTCTCCAGTACGCCCTATCCTCCAAAAAACCTCCCAAAGAGTGCGAATGTGGGAGAATTCAACGAGATCGAGAGAAGTGAACAACCGAAAAGATTTTTTGAAAAAGCAAATACGACCCTGTCCCTCCCTTCAGCGACCAAATAAGACCCCCCGCCGCGGCCCCAACGATGACGTTCACCAGTTCGAGTGCATTTTCTCGATCCTCTAGTTTCAAGCTAGCCTGCTGAACAACTTCTTGGGTATTTCAGTGGAGGCATTTCACCCTTTCAAAAATAGGGATGATGAGAATGTGAATGGATGATTTTTGCATGAAGGAATTAATTAAGCTCCCCTCTGGAGCGCTTCGACAAAAATCGTCATTTCCCATCCTTTGCGCCCCAACAAAAAAAACTTGTTTAAGTACAGTTTCTTTGAAAAAGATCTTGTACTCGCGATAAAAGCTGTAGCTGAAATTATGATCTGTTAACTGGGTTTGAATATTCAGTAATCATCACCGAAACTGCGAATTAATACACTTCGAACTTGGAAATAAGGAAAATCTGTTAGGTTCTACGACCAAGTGAAAACGTAACCAACTTCCATCTTGCGACTGACTGACCCCGAGAACTTCTGAGGGTGAAGAATCGCTCGCAGAAGTCTTGTTGAGAAATCTATCCAATAAATCGCGGTTCCGTAGTTTATACATTGCCAATCCTATATTCTGAAATGCTCTTTATATGTGCTAATATAATGACAGTATGAATTAGAAAAGTGGAAACACTGGGACTAAAACGTAAAAAAATGAGGAATTTCGTAGGATCTCACTGGATTTTTTGTATAATCTGCTAATGCCTGCGGTTGCGCCGCGGTCGTTGGCAATAGGGCGAGTTAGTGCTCGGAGCAGACGAACAAGGCCGCGTTCATACATGATGCAGAAATGCCGAACCACGGAATGTGCAGAACTGCGGAATTTGCAGACATGCGGAATTGGGAGAACCGCGGAACTTGCAGAAGAAGAAAATGTGTCTATCGATTTCAAAAACCGCGGAATATGCAGAAATGCAGAAGTGCGGAATGTGCAGAAATGCCGAAATGCAGAAATTCCGCTGGTGAGGCTAAGCGATCAATCCCTATCAGGTCATTGTCCGTCATTTCGGCATTTCTGCAAATTCCGCGGAATTGGGAGAAATGCAGAAATGCGGAATTTGCAGATTCTGCATTTCTCCCGATTCCGCACGACGGCAGGAACCAAGCGATCGATCCCTATCACTTCTTTGTCCGTCATTTCGGCATTTCTGCAAATTCCGCGGAATTTGCAGAAATGCGGTTTTCAAATCGATGCGTATACATTTCCTGTCTGCAATTTCGTCATTTCTGCAACGTCGTCATGAACGCGGCCTAATGATGTGTCGCAACCAACTCACCGTGATGCTCAGACCCATTATGAGGAACTTCGTCTTATCTACTCTACTTCCTGATGCTTAAATATAAACGATTTTTCTAAGCACACTAATTTAAAGCTTGGTTGCTGTTCTGGTAATATAAGGACCTTATTATCAGAGTCCGAAGGTGCGATGAAGTGATTCAACTAGAGCTGAGGACCTTATTGGCTAGCTTGGTAGCTTCTGCACTCTTCCTGAAGCCAAGCTTAGTTGGGACTGTGTCTCTCTGATATCGCTCGGTGACTGCGGCAGTCCGCTTCCTAATTGTAAGCGTTCGCCAGGGTATGGACACAGAGTGCCCCTCTCAGGGCATAACTACGGATTTTCTCCTAAGAGTGAAGGAACTCTAGGGCGGTGAAGGGTGCTTATGGATGAGGAAAGATGTGGCTTCATAGGAGGGGGGAGCACTCTGCACCAAGAGCCTCTACGATATAAGACTAGTGCTAGACCTTCTGTTTTACCACCGCTTCAACTAGCTTTGAGTTACAGAGTCGGAAATTTTTTTCAGGGGAAGTACCGTCCACAAGAATTCATGAGAAGCTTCCTGTAGTCGCCTGTGGTGACTTGGGCGGAAGGGTGGCACGTTTTGATTCTTTGGGAGTGCCTCTTTATGTCACCGGTGTCACGCTCAACATCTCTCTATATATACCATTCTCACTTCAAATTCACCCCTTTTCAAACCAAATTCACCACACTTATTAGGCCGGGCAACTCATCAACCAGATCACGCCAGACACCACTGCGAGCCCCGCCCCGACGGCCACGCCTACTTGTCAGCGCGGACATAGATTTTCAAATCTTGTTTCATAACTTCTGCTTATGTGACTTTTCTTATCTTTTGCTGTTTCCCACAAACACTTTGAAAACGAGTGGCATTGACACATGGCCGACTCCGCCCATTCTCTGAAGGGTTTGGCAAAGGCTCCGCCTCCTTGACCACGCCCACTTGCTTTTCGCGGAATTTTCGATATTTTTTCAAAATTTGCATTTTAGGGCTGCTGCGTGAAGCCCCGCCCACTGTGAGAGGCTCCGCCCACTTTGAAGAAGCCCCCCACTTTTCAAAAATGGTGCAAATCGGCAGTATAGAGTCTCGGCTGGCATGCTAGGGTATTGCTGATCATTCGGAACAAACTTTGCCTGATTTTCTTGTTCCGAGTGACGAACGAGTGTCCCCTAAAAGTGATTCACGTGCGCAGAAGTGAACAGTACGAAGGAAAAATTTTGAAAACGCATCCTGAGCAGCCAGACGGACAGGTATTAGGTTGTCCGGAAAGTTCTCAGCGTTTTGTGCACCTATTTTTTGTACATTCACTGCTGATTAAAAACTCATTCTGCCTTGCTTCTCAGTAGCACATCCTGTAGAGAATTTCTTGCGCTATCTGATGGTATAATTGCCGTTTCACCATTGCTTGATAAACCCCCTTTTTTCAAGATTTTTTCAAGCATGTGAAAAGAGCACTTCGGACGATTTTTTTCTTCGACTATAAATTGGGGCAATCCGCAATCGAAACAGCTCAAGCAAAGATCGCAGGCTGCGCGGGCGCCTAAATAGTTCTAGAGAAAGCAGCTGTGCGGCAATGCTCAACAAATTGTCGTTCTGGAATTACAACGCTATGAACGATCGAACCTTCATACGAACGACCCTAGAAGCAATACTGATCGAGGAATTAGGGGGATTTGGGACTTGATCACACATCACAAAACAGTTCGAAAGCACTCACACCGCAACAGGCCCGGCAAATCCACTGGTTGGCTTAGGTCTGGACTGTTTGCATCTGCGAAGGTGAAAAACTCGGCAATTGGGTGCCCCGACAATCGGAGTGACCGCAGGACATCGGCACTCAAATAGATAGGTTTCTTGTGATAGTTTGAAATTGACGCAGCCGAAACGTTTTAGACCCCGATTGTTCACCTGTTTTAAGCACGCGTAATTGTCACACTGTGATACACACAATTGGCAGATATGATAATCAGCGAGACACGATCCGGCAGTGGTTTGGATGCCGACGAACGCATCGAGGTAATTTTTCAAAAACCGAAGCGCCTCACGAAAAAAAGATTCTGGTCACGGCTTGGTGGTCATCGGCTGGTGTGATCCACTATAACTTTTTAACACCAGGCCAAACCATCACAGCAGAACCCTACTTGAAGATATCGACGATTGTACCGAAAATTTTGTCAGATGCAGCCAACACTTATCAAAGAAAGGGTCCGATCCTTTGCATGACAACGCCCGCCCCAGCACGTCAAATCACCTATCCAGAAATGGAACGAACTTGAGGGTAGAAGTTCTAACGCTCAACGCCATAATTTCTTCAACCGTTTCGCACACCGACTAACACGCTTTCTAACTTTTTCAGGAGCCTTACTGGGAAATAATTTCATCATCAGGACCACGGCAAAAAAAGCTTTAGGCGGATTTCGTAAATTTTTCGAACCCAGTTTTTATTTTATGGGGTTTCTCGACTGGCCTTGTCACGATTGGGCAAAAAGTGTGTGATTCGAATGGTGCCTTATTTCGATTACTCCGAGAGTTTATACAAAAGTATACGATCGTCAAGTGAAACCCCAAAACGCTGGAGAACTGTGTCCGGACGAACGCTGATAGTATGTGTTGTAAGGGCGAGCAGCGGGAAAGCCGGATGAAGTAAGGGGAGGAACGCCCCCCGCCAGTGAATGAGATGTGCACCGGATTGGTGGTGCCTGCTGCAAAAACTCATAATTTCGTCTTTAGGCACATGAGAACAGGTCATGGAAAGATTGTATGGGGTCAAAATCGAGAAATTTGCAACTTATTAGTATTTACTCATTTGTTTGTTTACTTATTTACCTGTCATTTATTCCACAATGATTCAAAAACACTCATACTTCCAATCATCTACCAAAACGACTTCAAAAACTCATACTGTCCATTCAGTTCATCCATAAGAGCATCCACTAGGCACTTTCCACTCCCTTCCTTAACAGAGAATTTCACAACTATCCACTAGTGACAGGAGTAAATATAGAAAAGGAGTCTAATACCTAAGAATTAGCATCAAGAAACGCAAACTTTTTTCAGCGAAGAAGGCAGCAGCATTCGAGATTTTGATGGAGCTTTTACGCCCCCCTTTTTTCAAGGGGCTGGTACGACCGCCTTATGTTGACAGAAAAATCAATAAAACGTCATGGAAGGTGAAACGCACGTACTCTTAGCCGAAATACGACCCGTGGCTGCTAGCACGTGCTGTAATTTGTATACGTAACATTGGATGTTGTCTTGAGATGTTACCATAAGATCCAAGTTTTGACTTCGGGATCGAAGGATCATTGGACAAAACAATCAAAGTCGTCACAAATAACACAAGCCGTGAAACTGAACTATGATTGAAAAATCGCGGAATTACGAGGGTTTTTTCCCGCGCACACTGTCTTGCGAACTGGAAGCACCTTCCATATCTCCACATAAATACTTGCCGACTAATGCTCGTCGTGACAGTGAAGCTCAGCTGCTAGTGAGCACGTCTCCCAGGCAAGTGGGTGGCAGGATCGAATTCCTGACGGCACGTGCTTTTTGATTTTTCGGAAACGTGGCTGAAAAGCTTCGAACAAGGCCAATAGATCAGCGCTCGCCCGTCTATGAAAGGAATTTGAGAGCAGTTCTTGTCAAGTAAGGCGCTCTGTGATCTACAGGAACGTTTGGGCGTTTTGTTACCCGTAGCGTACTCCAAACGCGTTTTCCTGTCAAACCAGTAAGGTACTCGTGGCTATGGCTAGACAGCCCTGGGAACAAAGTTCCGTCCAAGTTTGTGATTTTCACCTAACTTCGAAAAAGCGCAATCAATCATTAGTGAAATGGTAACCAGTTTGGTCCCACTCATGTTTTTTAGCTAAACCGATATCGAACGTAGTCTTGGAGGTAAACGTACTCTCTAACCAAGGTTCTAGAAAGAGAGCATCGTCTTCCTCATGCGTTGCATAATCCTTAAGACTTCATGACAGTATTTTCCTATATGATGTGCTTCTATCGGTCCAATTTCCATTCACGACTATCCAGTAGTGAGTGTGATTTTCTTTAGCTTCGCCCTGCCATATCGGATTATCTGTCTTCTGAAAACTTCACTTTCTCTGTTACTGGGAGCTAGTTCCATCCCAAGGCCAGTCACCGATCATAGGATAGGCCTAGGGCCACTGGTAGCCGCTGTTCACACATAACTGACTACTGATTGCCCCACGTTTTTTTGAAGTTTGATCAGAATTTCAGACTTAGGTGGGGGGAAAAGGCTGAACAAATAATGCAGATGTACCAACAGATCAGTTTTCGAAGCAATATGAGTACTCAATCAAGTGCACGTTTATTCACATTTTGAAATGACAAATGCATTGAATATACACAACATAAAGAGATACAAGTTCAAAGCTCACAAAGATCAAAGTACTGTCATGCAATGCTGGAACCAATACTGTATAAAAATCGTACTCGTAAATACCCTTTAAGATTCGACTGACAAATTCAGATCATTACATCGTCCTGGAGAATTTTCGCTGTTTTTTGACTCTAGATTGCTTACGTATTACTCCCGACCTTTTCGGTGCGTTTTCGAGAAGCATCATTGCCTGCACCTCAGACTGCATGCCCTGAA